CACTGTGCCACCGAGCAGCCCCCTTATTTCAAGTGCATTTGATCTAAATATCTTAATCTAAGAGCAAAAATTCTCACTATATTGGCAAATCATCGCATTTTCCTACTCAAATTAAGAGTAAATACCCTTAATTTCAGACATTTTTACTTATTTTCTAGATCGTTTTTCCAATGTGGTATTTTAACAGGAGTCTGTAAACATTTGAAAAGCACTTTACACTGGTCTTTGCTATCTGAAGCATTTTTCCCCCCGATTTTAAAGATGAATCGAATCTTCCTACAACACTGGTGTCGCATACATAAAATTGACCAAATCAGGTATTCATGGGGGACAGTGGCTGATAAAATATCCATGTTTGCAATGTTTATTCTAGCAACACTCCATACTGTCCCATGTGGTCTTGTTTAAAAGGACAAGAGGGCAGTATGGATGGAGCAGTTTGGAGTTGATTTAAATCCACCTCTTAGTTACTTATAATTTAAAGTCATTATATGCTATGTTAATCATGTTCACAGTAACATGTGTATAAACCAAGCATTAATCACACTGATATTAAAACATTTCAACCTGATATTGAGCATCACTAACAACTTCTGTTTTGAAATGAAAGGAAAAGTCCAGTCAGCAAAGAATAATCAATGGATCATTATCTAAAGCTAAAACTACTGTAATACAGTCACAGTGATTTAATGAATTTAGCGTTAATCCGTTAAAAAAATGTAATTAACGTCACGGTGCGGTAAGCCTAGGACCATTCTCCCCACTTTACAAGGAAACTGTATACAAACTGTCATACACACCTGCAATCAACAACAATGATATTAGATTCAAAAGGACTTCACCATTGAAATTCGTGAGCGCTATAGTTTAAGTGACAATGCCCATGTACATGGCAGTTGAATGTTGTAATATATCGGGTAAAAGTAAAAAAAAAGAGTTATTTTACCTTTCTAATTCATGATCCTCCACGGGTTCGTCGTTCTTGAGGAGGGAGGATTTACCATCGAAATTCTGGCAGGAAAAAAACAATAATATGTATCCAACAATTCGAACAATGTTTTCAAGATGACTTGGATAATAGCGCCTATCGACAAACACCCGATAGAGCATTGGGACTTGATCAGCAGCTGATACCGCACCGTGACGTCACAAACCAGTAGGTGGCAGTAGTGTTCTTTGATGAACATGGATGCCTCTAGTAAAGCTCCTTCAAATGAAAATTACATTTATTGAAAGTATCTAATAATTTTATATTTAAAGTACTTTTAAAAGTTTGAATTCTGACTATGAGTGGACTTTTCCTTCAATGGTTTCTACTTGGATGTCTTAGAAGGCTGTTAAACCTTCGATATCTGCTTATTATGCTCCCTAAAGTTCGTCAGCTGGCAGTGTGAGGAACTTGTCTTTTTCCCACCATCTGTAACAGGACTGCATTGACTGGAACAGGGATGTGCTGAAGAAAGAGCTGGGCCTGGATGAGGAGGATATTATTGACCTGCCAATCCTTTTCAAGCTGGTGACTAAGGACAATGATGAAAGAGCAGTGGCCTACTACCCTAATATGGTTTGTTTTAATTCTTCCTTCGGCTTTTAAGTTAAGATGCAAAGAAGATGGAAGTTAAGTATTGTTATAAGTATTTGACCTTTTACAGATTTATTTAGTTTTTAACTTTTGAGGGAATTTATTTCCGGTAAAAAAAATAAAGAAATAAATAAAAACATAAAAAATCCAAACAAACATTGCCCTA